CAAACCATTCTGTGATTCTATGATTCCTTTTGAGTGAGTTGAGTAATAGCTCTAAAGGGCTGCAGCAGACCTGAAGCTGTGAATTGTGTGGTACTTCAAATGTCATAGAATACATTGGCAAAGTGGTTAGTAAAGAGTGTAACTAATAGTCTAAAATCCTCCAAGAGTAGTGTTTTCAACCTGTGAAAAAGGCAAGCTCTGCCTTGTCTGCAGATTACTTTTAAGATATTTATGGAAGATGGTTAAAAAGCACGTGTTGTTAGTGGGTTTAAGTTTCTGTGCAGGGATCTGTGCCTTCATTGGAAAATGGGGAAGAATCCTGTGAGAAATTACGGTAATACAGCACCGTTTTCCATGCAGAAGCTTATTTGAATTAAATAGGTATGAATGTTTACTGCTCTTTGTTTAGGTCATCTCTTTGTTCTGTTATTTATTTCTAGCTGCTTTACCTGAGGAGCTGTGTAAACTGAAAAAACTGGAAACACTACATTTGAATGGCAATCACTTGAGGCAGCTACCAGCTGCATTTGGACAACTTTCAGCTCTCAAAACCCTGAGCCTTTCTGGAAACCAGCTTCGGACTGTGCCTACACAACTCTGTGGTCTTCGCCACTTGGATGTGGTAGATCTTTCCAAAAACCAGATCCAGAATGTACCTGACACTGTTGGAGAACTGCAGGCTATTGAGCTCAATCTGAATCAGAATCAGGTCTGTTAACTGAGATACTGTGGGCATGTAGATTTAGGACGTGATTTATCTTGGTCTTAGTACATCCACAGAATGTAAGATGAGACTATCAAAACTTTACAGATAAAGCACATCTCCTGGACACAACAGAAATGAGGGATCATAACTAGAATTTGTGTACTGATACATTCAACTGCCTGATTTAACTAAATAAGAAATACTGAATTTAATCATACAGTAAATTATTTGAACAGTTCTTGAGTAGGAATCTGATAAACAGATGTGTAGATTGCCTGTCATAATGGAGGAGAAATAAGTTACTTGGATTTTTTGACCATTATCATTGCTGCTTACACATTTTACACGTTGTTGTTAAGTAGTTACTGATGTAGTTATAATTATAGCATGGTAATGGTTCCATATTAGTCTGAAACAAATCACTTTAAGTAATCACAGATTACTAACATTTTAATCCCATTTCTTTTTGTTTGTTTGTGGGTCTTTTTTTTTTAATTTCTGCCAGATTTCCCAGATCTCAGTGCAGATCTCCCACTGTCCACGCCTCAAAGTCTTGCGTTTAGAAGAAAACTGTCTAGAACTCAGCATGCTTCCTCAAAGTATCCTCAGTGATTCCCAGATCTCACTGCTTGCAGTAGAAGGTAACCTCTTTGAAATCAAGAAACTCAGAGAACTGGAAGGTTATGACAAGGTTTGTCTTTTCTTTTTTTGGTCTTTTAATTTTTTTTTAAAGAAGCAGCTTCTGGTTAGTAGCTCACCTAGTACCTCCTCAGAATAGTAAGCTTTTATGCTGGTGAATAAAAGCACAAATAGACTATTGGTATTGTCACTGTTACTGGATTCATAACTAATCTCTGAAAAGAATTTCAAGAGTTCTTCAAAGATTAATTTTCTCATAGGATTCAGGATCAGTGTTCTTTCATTAGCATCTTTTGAAGGGTAGCTAATGATGACACGTGTGTGTCTTCGCTTTGATGGGACAAAAAATAATGGATGCTTCCTGTTATGCAGCATTCTGAATTTTTTAATGCTAGTTCATCCTTAGCACTTGAGATTTGACTGTTGAGCACTGTGGGGACTTTGTCAGAATGTTGATCTGAATTACAGCAAATAGCAGAAATTTTTTGTTTGTTTGTAATTAAATCTCTAATGGTTGTGTCTGGGAAATGAAAATATGCTTTAGATGCAGAGTGCTTTTAAGTCTGAGAGCAGGAGCTTAGCTACTTTCAATAGTAATGAACCTTGTATTAATTTCTGAATCTTATTTTTTGTTTTGTTTTCTCTGTAGTACATGGAACGATTTACAGCTACAAAGAAGAAGTTTGCGTGATCATTATTCTGACGCTGTGTATTCCCAGTAAGAAGAGTTAGTGACTGAAGCACCTGCTTCACTGACTTAAACCAAGACTGATGAAGGAGATGATCAGAGTACTCCTCCTCTAGTAGTCCGATGCGGTCTGTTAAGGCCCCATTGAATAAACTTGAACTAGAGAACACGGGTATTGAACTGATGAACCTGCCCAGGGGCCAGTTTTGATTTTTGTGCCACTATAGCTTTTAACACAATACATGTTCTCCTTTGTCAGGGCTTGTTCTTTCAGAGAAAGGGAACGAGCGTTTCAAAGTTGCCCGTTCCCTTTTGTCAGGAAGCTGGCTATTGATTTGTAAGAGGATTATTTCTTCTGGAAACATTTTTCTATTATAGCACGTGGACGTTCTACCACCAAAGCAGATCTGAAACACTGTATGTATAGCAGTAAACACTATTCTACAGAGAAAAACTTTTACAGATGAGGTTTTAGTTTATAACCTGTATAAGTTTTTTTTTTTATGAAGCACAAATAGTTGTGGCTGTTTTATTAACTGCTAATGGTTTGAGCATCCTTCATTCATATTTTACTGTATAGGCTTTCTTTTCCCATAAGCAAAAGTTGCACTACGGTCCCCTTCTGCTTGAGCTTTATCAAAGAAAAATGAGGTTCATCTTCAGTGTATTCAGTAAAAATGTGTATTACTGGAAAATATCATATCCTTGCACTGACTCCTTGTATACAGAGCAATGCTGAAAGTTTTAGTTGTCAGCCTACTGCTGCTGCCTTATCACCAAAAGCACCTAGAAAGAGCTAAAAATGTATGCAATTATGTAACTTACATGGAAAAGGAAAATGTACTTGTTTATTTTAGTAAATAATTTTCAAAAAATCAGTTCAAGTTTACTTGGTGTAACTGTTGCTGTTGTCACTTTAACAAATACTACTAAGCTATCACTGAAAGCCACCACTTAGGTACTTGGTTCCATCAGTTGTTGGTAACAGCTGTACTTCAGCTGCTTTGAGAAGGCAGAGGATTTGAGTCTGTCAGCACTTTGGTAGCAGTTCAGTTACTACGTACTGCATAGTCACAACAGTGAAGTAGGAGCTGTACGAAGTACACTTCTTGGCACAATAAGCATGGATGCATCTCTTCCTTATGAAACTGTCTCACATTAACTCCTTTTCTATATCTTAGCTTTCCTACATGAGACATAGAAGGTGTTTGGACAGCAAACTCCTTGAAGTTGCTGGTGTAATCATTAAATGTATTCAATGTCTTATGCTATCTGCAGTTAAGAAAAATGATGTGACCTCTGTGCCAATCTTATTCTTCAATATAACAACTATAATTAAGATTAGCTATAAGTGGTTTTGTAAGATGCTCAGAAGAGGTAGCTAGTTCCCTAACCCTGCTGATGGCTACATAGCAATACCTGTTACAAGGGAGTTTTAGGGAATATCAGCTCCTTATTCAAAGGATGGATGTGATCCATCATTAAACAGGGAACCAGTTTTACTTAAGAACCCCCATCCCAGGTGTTACTTTATGGAAAAAACTACTCACTTCATCCAAGAGTAGCTGACAGCCAACAATGTTTACAAGGCAACTTTGCAAGACATAACTAGGGAAGTGCTTTAAGAACAGAGCCTGGCTGTTGCCATGATGTAAAGCCCTGTATAGTCAGAAATCTATTCAGCTTCATACTAAGGCTCCAGATTTTGATGTGCAAATCCCAAAATGAAGTTTGAAATCCAAGGTTTCTTTTAAGCTTCAGTTCCTTCCACTTGATACCTAATTCTCATTTGAAGTATTTTTTTCTAGATATTTGCCATACATGAGACATCCACAGAACAAAGCCCCTCAGCAGATTTCCCCTGTGTGTTCACCAGCTGTGACAACTACAAAGGACTGGTCTATCATCAATACATATGTACTTGGAAGTGTGCTGTGGGTTTTTTGTTGTTGTTTTGTTTTTTTGACTGGAAATATCTGTGCTCAGACATGCTGCTTCTCTCATTTAGCATTATCGGGATTCTTTTACTTATTTACTTATTCAAGAAAGATGTGTAAGAAGAGATGGTAGATCAGAACATTTAAAAAATATGCAGTTAGCATTGCTATAAAGAAAATATCATACTGCTTTTGGAAGTATTTGAGAATGCAAGTCAACATTTCTCTTATGTGATCACTTAGATAATTTAGAAACCTTTTAATTACTCACTGTTAGGTTCCTTTGCTACCTTGGAGTTATGACAGCTATCAAAAAAATTTGTAAAGCAAAAGGGAGAAAACACCATGCAAAATACTGAATGGTGCAAAGTTAGTTCTGGATTAAGCAAATTTGTTCCAGAGCAGAGGAAGACTGTTTCTGTTTCCAGAAAAAAGCTTGCTGATAGCCTCACATGTTCTAGCTCACAGCACTAAACCGTAACTAAGTCACTTAGTAGAACACTGTTCTGTACATTTCAGCACTGTACGTAAATCTACTGGTAGTATTATACTGGGAGTTTCTTAAGTTTTCCCCTCTCATCACCCCCACTCTACAAGTAACACTAGAAAACATTTCCAAGCAAAATTACACTTCAAGCTTTTTAGTTTTGGAATTAATAAGGTAGAAAATGTTACCCTAGTTAACATAATATAAACCATTCATGTATTTTATTTCAGACCTGTATCACTTTCTCTCCAGTTCTCCACTACAGTAAGATAAACTTTTTATCCATCTATTCAATCAACATCTAGGTCGTGTATTGCTGTTTCAAGTGTAGCAAAGGTGAATTAGCAACTGCAAGTCACTGCATTGTAAAAACAGCAAATGGTTTGACTGTGCAGCCTTCGCAGAGGAAAGTTCTGCAAGTTGCTGCACTAGCAGCACATGCTGCAGTTCATACTATAGCTGCCCCTGTGTTAAGAGGATTAATTCATCTTTCATCAAGGAGTAGGCTAGCTTGAATTTACTAATTATCATCATTTACATGTACCCATGGGACATGTGCTGCATGCTCAGAATAGTTACATATGCAGGCTGTCCCCAATTTTTTTTTTCCTAGTTACTGGTAGAAATATACTATTTAAGAAGTACTTCTTCCAAGCCATTCCCAGATATGCTATTCTCTCTTGCAGCTCAAAACTGCTGCAAGTCAACGCAAGTCAACACAAGTCTGTATTTCCCCCCCAACCTCTCCCCCCGCAAGAGCATTCTGGGAATCCAAGTCTCTAGTATCAGAGAAAATACAATTTAAATTACCTCGCAAGTGAAATTGCTTTGTCACTACATTTCACCTACTGGACTAGGTATTTGCAAGGCATGTGTTACCGGAAAGTTTATTTTACTTAGTTCCTTCACCATTGTGAAGTACAGTCCCATGTCAAATCACAGTCCTTCAAAGGAAAGGTGGACATATTTCATAGTCTGAAGTTAGGTGATGTTGATTATACAGGTGTGATAAGTAATAATTTGCTAATCAAACAATCAAACAATTAATTTAACAGTTCTTTTAAGTAAGAGCCAGAGACTTAAGCAAATGGTTAAATGTCAAACCACAGAGTTATGTCACCATGATGCTCATGCATCCTGTTATTTAGTCAAGGCTTAAGTTTAGGTATTTACATATAAGCGATGTAGACATGATAATTGTAAAATCTACAATCACGACAGAACTGCCTAAAGGATAAACCGAGAAAGGCGACTGTGAGTATTTGTCCAACAGACCGGCCCGGCAATTCCCGGAGGACCCGTGAATTGCATCAGATAACCTAAACTGACACATCACGGCCATCACAAGGAGTTGTCAACAACTAAAACGACTCATCATAAATGATAAGGGACTCAACTGCCCTGGAGGGGGTATAAAGAGGACTGCTCTATTACCCCATCTGGGAGCCGTTGGCAGAGCAGAGACTCCCCGGCCGCCCAGCGCGCTGCTTTGCTCACCTATATCTAATAAACCCGATTTAAATCTATAATCGGACTCTGTGTCTGTATTACTTCTAACACAGGGATGAAAGCTAGTGTTAAAAAAAGATCACAATATTCCTCTCTTCCCAACCACACCCATTCCTTTGTTAGCATTAGGATTTCTGTGAACTAAAAATAGAAGGGAAACTTCCTAGTTGCATAGTAGCAGCTAGATCTGCCAAGTTTTTCAAGGACAGGAAAATAAATGAAGCCATTTCCAAGACAAAATAGTTTTAAAACACATTCAGTTATAAAAGTATGTATTTTTTGTGCACAATATATAGTTTAACAATCAAAAGCAGAAACTGTAAACCTTCATTCTTAATAGCATTCAGAAATACAAAGATGTACAAGTGTTGATTCCATCCCATAGATATGGAAATGAAGCAGCTATTCTATAGACAACAGTAAGACAATCCAAGAAGCAGACTGTATTGTTCACAAACATAAAGGCATCAACTCCCTCACGGATTTGGCTCTTGCTGCATCAGAAAATAGTACTGATATTCTGCTAATAATCAAGCTTAGAGTCTCAGAAATTATTTCTTTGTGTGATATGCACAGCAGTATTACAATTCTGATATACCAATTGCATTACACTCTCAGACAACATGCTAATTTGCTGTTAGAGCTCAGGGAAGTCAAGAACATAGACTTTTAATTGCAAGGGAGAAAAACATTTCAATGTTTCAAATGTCCAGATGCTGCAGAGCAGGTTTGCACTGTTGTAAGCAGAATAAGGTAACTCCTTTATTCTTTTGTTCCAGGAGACAATCATCATTAAATAACACATACTTTGCTTTCACAACCAGCAACAAATATTCCTTCGGTTAACCTGAAGTTTGTAAGTTAGAAATTTACTAGGCAATATTCTTAAAAGTACTTCCTTGCTACTTATGTTTTTAAACACATAATCCTCATTCACTAACTGACTAGGTAATGAGCTTTTAAAATTCATTAGTTTTCCAACAATTATTGGAAGGCAGACAGGAGCCAACGCACACTACCAAAGTATCCACTCCCCTAAAAATGACTACCTTATTCACATCAGACAGTCTACCACTGGCCTATCTGTTACATGCAGCAGCTCCATCCTTTGGTCAGGTGGGGTTTGTTTTGGTTTTTTTTGTTTATTTTCTTTAAATACCAAGTTGTCCTGGGAGTGAAGTGCGAAAATACCAGTAATACTGATTGTATTTCTACTAAAAAGAAAACAAAACACTTAACTGTTTGTCTTACATTTCAGCAGATTAGTGTCATCTCTCTGTCCCTGGGATTCATTATTAATGGCTACAGGATACTTGTGTACTGTCCTTCCAAATAACCCCCCCATACTGCTATTAGTTTTAATTATTCCTCCAATTGATTTGAAGATTTTTGCCATCCAACACTGAGTATCACAGGTTAGTCCAAAGCATCATTTTTACCTTTAAAACAGGCATGATATATTGCTGGGTGGAGTTAAAATTATATAGGTCACTTGCACTTTACTAGCAAAAAAAAAAAAAAGAAAAAAAGAAAAAAAAGAAAATCCTGGTAATAAATCTGGTTATATTACAGTAAAACCAAAATGTTTTTCTTCACAGGAAGAGAGCTTTACCTCACCTGGTCAGAAACTCCTCTATTCTGCAACAAAACAGTAACATTTCAGTTGCAAGCAACTCAGATGTGTAATATTTCTAACTGCTAGTCCTAAAGTCTGCAATAATAAACCAGTCAGGAATCTATTTAGAACTAATTTATTTAGAACTAGCATACAGTTCTTAAATAGGTACTGCTTCCTCCAGACTTGTGACAAAAGTTTCATAATAAGCTTCTCTGTTTTCAGTAGGTTTAAGAAGCTCCCCCAGAGTCACTGCTGAGAGCAAACTCTACACTAGATCTGTCATTATTTTGCACTGGAGAAAGGCATAAACTGAACTCCAGTGAAAACTGGCCAAAATAGAATCTGATACAGGACACAAGAAAGCTCCATGCTTCTCAACTCAGTTTCTTCCAGTTACAACACATCATTCAAACACTTAAAAGTTAATTTTTAGATGAGGGGCATAAAATTTTCCATCAAATAAATATTTCAGGGAAATATTTTATTTTCTTCTATTCGTATGTGCATGGGGTATAGATCAGGTATATATACACACAACAAATATTATCAGAACAATGCAGCATAATTTCCTAGTCATGGCCTTCAAAACTATGTCAATTCACAAGAAAGAAGTGGAAACCTGTATATGCCTCCAGTTTACCTTTACATTAAAGTTATGTGGTTAGGAAGTGTTTTAAAGCCCTCAACCCACAAGTGATAAGTAGTGGGCCTCTTCAATTCTGTAATCCACAAACTCAACCCCAAACCAATCATGTGGTTTGGAACGAAAAACTACGGTTAGCCTGCTAGAGATACAAGTCAGACAATATTCACCAAGTCCCTATTTTAGTGAAGACACTGAACTTATGAGGTATTTCAAACAGTGCAAAGTGCCCTCTCCAACTTGACACAACTGTGAATTCAGGTTACTCTGCTTATTCAGCTTCAATGAAGGACTGTATTTTGGGTGCAGGAAAAAAAGAAAGACTGGGAGAGAGAATAAGACATGCATGAAAATTCTCAAAGCCATAACACTTTTAGCCCTGAGCAGTTTGAAGAAAGTGAAGGCAGATGAGTAGGAGGAAGTTACATTGGCTGCTTTCTTGGAGTCAAGGCCATGTTTACATGAAGCAATTAAAAAAAAAAAAGAAGAAAATTAATCCCTATAGAAAGGGTACTGCTTCATTTTTCCCAGCCCCTCTTATTTCAGAATAGAATTTTCACAGATCCATGAATACGGTGGCTTGCAGCTGGAGAGACAGTGTCACTGAACAATGACAGCAGGCTTTAATTGTCAATTAGTTTCTTGGCTCTGATGTTGGCTTGCTCAATGCGTTCCCTGTTTGTATCAGCCTGAAAGAGAAATTCAAAGATCATTTGCAGACTTCACGCAAAACAACTCAAAAATCCAAACTGATGTGAACTTCTGAATTGCAGAGTATGATCACTGTGGTAGGTGGAAGGGGAGCAACTTTTATAAGCTGGAAGTAATCCCCCCCCTGCCAGCATATGCTGTCAATTCCAGCAGAAACAGAATCAGGAGAAGTAGTTTTTAGCCTTTAGCTGACCCTTGAAACATACAGCAGCTTGCCTCAGCAAATCAGGAAGAATATTAACAGAACAAGGGGGTAAAAATTCCCTCTCCAAGTGCTTAGATATCTTAAGGACCTCTACAGAGCAGCTTTGTTGTTATGGGCTGAAGTAACAGTCAAAACTGGAAGTGACCTATGGGCGTGAAGTCAGAGTTATTTTGCTTAGTGCAAATCCCTGGTTGTCATTCACACACACTCCAGTGTCCTAGTGTCATAGTAGTATGGTATCTGTAAGAAAACACTTTATAATTCTTTTACTATAAAGCATCAAAAGTCAGCCACAGTCTCTAAGCTGAACTAGTATCAAAATACAGTTCTACTGAAAGGTATGATAAGGAGCTTTGAAATAATTCCCCGATTATTCAGCCTGCAGTGGGGAACGAGCAGGAGGGGTAACAAGCACAAAACCAGCCTCTGGCCTCACCATGAGGAGTGGAACTCTGGAGAAGCTCTGACTTGCACCAAGTATTAGCCATTTCACACCTTCATTCTGCAATGGCTAGGAAGAAGACACTGGCAGTTCACACCCTTTCCTCCTGCACTTTCCTTCCTGTCCTTCAGGTCAAGGGTTGGGGAAGGGCATGAATCTACTACAGAAAAGTAAGAATCTAATCTCTTAACACACTTTGGAAACACACTGATCTAGCTACTAGATCTTTTAAGAAAAAGCCAGTAACATAAGCTTTTGTTAGGGGCTTGTTCAGACTAGGAGTCCTGCATAACACTGCAGGCTACCAAAAGTCACCCAGTCAAGCCTATGTATTTCCCAGGTAAGTTGGAATTTTTAATTTTCCAAAAAATAAAAATAAAAGCATCAACTCTATTCTGAAGTTAAGCTTAATACTGTTCTTCGTTTCTTTAGATGATACTGTCCTTTTGGAGATTTACCCTCAACATTTTGATCTTCGAACCCGATTCAAACTTGTTTACATCATACTTTAATAGTTAGTAAGACTTGATCAGCAAGATACATTCAGAGTGAAAGATCATCAGGCCAAAACAGGTGCTTGAAGCTACCAGAAACACTACCACTAAAGACAGTAATTCCCACTTGCAGTTAATTTGACCAGAAAATTTTCAGTCCACCTTATAAGCTGCAAGAATTTCACACCTCATTTTAAGCTCTGATGAAATTTTCTAATGTTCTTTAAAATGTTTCAGTTCTTTTACTTGATAATCACCTCACATACGCAGTTTCAGGGAACAGTGAAAGACAATTAAGGCATCCTCCATAAGATGAAGTTGACTGGCCTTGTAATACCACAACCCCTAAATTACTAGACAAAATTGAGATGCTGACATAGGTACAACCAGCATTTATGTTAGACTAGATCTGTAAGATTGTGAAAATTCCATTCCTCTTACTTTTAACCCTGCTGGACATTTATCTTTAACTTCTCATTTTGTCTTAATTCTATAATTTTACAGCAACTAGTATTCAATTCTGCTGATTTTTAATCTTTAATATACTTTATTCATTAAAGCTTTAATTTCCTTTCTTAACCAGGATGCCTGTAAAATAACTTCTATCCATTTCAGAGTATGAGGATTTCTAAAATACAAGTAACTTCCTCCTAAGTTGCCCTCTGAAAGAAACCCCCCTGAAACATTTATCCATGATTAATCTGTTTTGGGAAATTAATATTTAAAGTAATAATAATAATAGACGTTACTGGCTACAAGTAACTTCATGTGCAGATGAAGGCAGACCATGTCCCTGTGCACATACAAATCCTATTATTCCGAAGTCTCATCAGCACCAGTATTAACCTGTCCACAAGTATCAGGGCAATGAATTACCTGTGTTTTATTTTATGTGCAATGATTACAGTGACTTTTTTCGGAATTCCAAAAGAATCTTGCTATTGTTAAAAATATCTGTTCCCTATTACATCCAAGAGTCCCTGTGAGCAACAATCCGCCAGTTACAGCCCCACTAAATGTTTGCACTTCTAATCCAATCAAGTTTAGCTGTTTTCAGAGGCAGCAGTGACCTGTGCTGCATTTTTAGGTTTCCTGACACTCTGAAGCATTTGAATTTTCAGATAGATACCCAAACACCAGGTTTATCTCTTGTTCAAATCACTGCAACCTAGAGGATGGTATAATGCATATTTACTGCAAATACAGGAACATATGACAGTGAAGCCATTCCTTATAACTTCTCAGCAACAACTTCTTCAGCTTAGGCTGAAGGCAGAGAACATCTTTGACACTTACCTTTACATTTATCCGGTCTATTTGTTTATTCTGGGCATCAATCTCATTGCCCATATCCAAAGCCATGTGTTTCAAATTCCCAAGAATGTTTCCCACTTGAGCAAGATTTTCATCCATTTCATCTTCTCTGGCATCATTTGTTATCCTGTTAAAATAATTAAGACAATGTTTCCAAGAATCAAGAATTTGCTTCTCCCTACCCTAAATGTGCTTTAATAGAAATTGTTTGTTGCACAGTTATCTGGCAAGCAATGTATTCAAGCCAAGGTATATTTTTCTCTTTTTAAAACCCCATGTATTCCAAGCAAGCAGCCCACCAAAAAAGGGTGCTAAGCTAGCTGCTATTACAAGAACAGCCTTAGAATTTAAAATAACAGCTACCAGAGGAAGCTAAAGACATGAGTTTGTCCCAAATATATACTTTATGACAAGAAAAGTCCATGATATTTTAAAGTCCCCTCAATAACTGAACACTAAGCTCTAGTCCTCACATCCAGAAACAGACTGATAATACCACCACTACGAAAAAAATGAAAGCGTAAGATGAACACTACAATACTTAAAGTGTAGGTGCCTGTCATCTCCTCTCCAGCAGTAACAGTTCCTCTAAGCAGTAGTAAAAAAATCTTACTATTTAGCAACTTCACCCAAAATGCACCTGAAAGCTGACAACTAGTACTTAAGATTTCTGCATTTGAGATTGAGAAATATGAAGAAGCAAACCTTGTGATATATCCACCACTTGGTCCTCCAGAAGTCTGAGGCTGATGCTGATTTATACTTCTTGGTTGCATGGATATCACATGATCTGCTGAGTTCTCTGTTCCATCGCCCCAGGTTGTTCTGTATGCCTTGCTAGCCTCAAAGCTCTTTGTCCTACTCCATAAAAATAAGAAATCTGAACTGCTACATCAGAAATATGGCTTCCTGACTGAAGTTCTGTATTAATCTAGGATTTTCAGAAACATTTGTTTTGTGCCTGAAAGAGATTAGTTTTTGTACAAAGTTTTGTCTATACTATTTCTTATATCACGATAGTACAAATATAACTGAATTATTTCAGGGACAGGTGATTAATTTGATCTTAAGTTTTAATACAAGCACAGTAATTTCCTTAAGTAATATACTTTACCAGAAGACAGGAAGCTTATGACAGTAACAGGAAGGCTTATGCTGTCACCAAGATAAAGTTGCATTTACAACAGCAGTTAGTCTGGTAGTCTGGAGTCAGTATCAATTACTTTTCAGGGAAGAAATGAGGATGAAGGAAAAACTCCATCAAATACAAGTAGCTACACTGTGCAAGAAAGCCATTAATCTTTAGTGTTTGTCAAACATTTTCTGTTGCTAAGTCTTTCTTTTTAATGTATCTCAGCTTAATTTTGATTATGAAATAACAGTAATCATGTTTAAATAGCTTTTTCATTCTGCAAATCAATTGTACTAGAGCATAAAAAAAATTTACCATTACACTTTTACCACACGATTCAGAAGAGGAAAAAAAAACCTAAAGAAAGCACACTGACATGAAGCAATCTCAAGAATCACATATCTACAAAAGCAAGATGGGAAGAAAATATAACAGAAAATGAACTAATCTAAATTGGGGTCAGTTCTCATGAACTCTAAAGAATATTTTGAGAAGAATATTCTCATGTTCATCTTGCTTGCTGGAATTTTCAGGTTTAAGACAGATAATCTAGATTCCACTGCCACTTTTCTGCTTTATTAAAAGCCTGTGAAGGGAAATCTGTAGTGTCTTTCAGTACATCTAACTTTATAATTCCAGGTAATCAATTTCTATATCTATAGTGCCTTTCAGTAGCCAAGATTTTTCAAATTTGAAGAGGGGTGAAATTATCTGTAATGAAGAAATATTCCCCTCATTCTTCTGGTATTTATGTAATCAAAATGGGAAATTGTATTTTGTAGGTCACATCCTATGAAAAGTAATCTAGTATGAATACATTGAGGGGAAGAAAAGGAATTATTTTGCAGTTCATAATTTAACTGTTGCACCCAGCAGAACCCTAAAGAAACTTGAACTAGTCAATTCTAGCTCCTTGTGCATGCACAGACTTAAATACCTCTAAGTTTACTGCAAGGAGATTGAGCATTACATTTTAATCTCATTCATACTAAAGCCACAACAGCAGGAAAGCTTTGTATGCTTGGCTTCTGGATTAGCAAAGTCTTAGGTGCCAGAGGTAAGTGTGAGGAATTTATTGAACAAAAACAAGTGTCCTGAGAACTACTTGCACATCTGAAGTAGACAGCTAGAAACAGAGCTGTCACTCAAACTATGTACAGTTAAGAACAAAGCTTCTCATCACCTCATTTATTTTTTAAGAGCTGTTTTTCAAATTACTATACATTCACTTTTCTCATGCTTCATTTCTGTAAGATTAAAGCAATTTATACAACCTGTCAAACCAGCAAGGGCTCAAGCAGTTGTTCAACATTTCCACAGCTAATATGCTCTATAGTAATTGACATTTTCTATTCACATCAGTATTTACAACACATCACAGTCACAAGGAGACCTACATGCAGACACCATGCACGGGCAAGCACAAATCCAACAGAAGCATCACTTCAGACAGCTGGTTAAATGTACATCTGCACTAATAAGACTGACCTTGTCCTAAAATCCGCTTTCATCAGTTAAGTGAATACAGCTTCTTATCCTAGTCTTCATTTTTAGAAAGCAAGCGTCAGTGTTAGGAGAGAATGGAGAATAAAGAATAGTAAAGACCAGCAAACAGGTAAATTGTTATTAGTACATAGATTATATTAGAGTACTGCCAGTATTTTGTTTTCACCAAGCTTTTCTAAATAATCTAAACCTAATAGAAATGAGAAAAGCAACATTTATTTCAGAAAGCATTTCAGTTTAGCTTTATGATTTATGACCAGTAAGCACACCTATACAGAGGTGAGGACAGAACTATCTGCCTTTAAAAGCTCTAAGACTTTCAGCCTCAGAAGCTACATTCATATCTATCCTAAATGATGCTCAAAGGGTTATTCTGTTGGATAAGCAGACTCAGCTGCTCCAAGGAATTTTTACCTAAATTTCTACCTCTCAGTTGAATGTTAAGCTTTTTTTTTGCTCATGCTAAAGAACTAAAAATGAACACACAAGCTATTCACTTCAGTGGTCACACTCTTAAGATAACGTAGTTCTCCTTCACTTGGAAGAACTATGATCACATGCAATTCACACAAGTCAAATTTTGCTGCTTAAAGATAAAGCTAGCGCACCTCCAAAAAATAATTGTTTTCCTTATAATACTGATTTCTGATCATCGTTTAGGCTGTTTAGAATTAAAAATCAAGTGCCATACAAAAGATTAGATTACTCTTAACTGACTTGGATGTGGTAGCCATAACACTGATGTTATAAAGGTACTGTGAAGGTCTGCAAGAATTTATGTAGTCACTGGTGAAAGATTAAAGCTTTAATGCCAATGTCTGTTCTCCTACTCGCTTCCTCCCTAAAGCATCAACTTTTTTTTTTTTTTAAATGCCCAGAGATCTAATATTACTTTCCTTCTCCAAAACAGAAGTTTTCTTCCTTTTAAGTTAGTACAAAAGTACTTTTGTAAAAAAATGATTTTTGGAGTCAAATTTCTCACAGGTAGGTACTTACATATAGCTATTTGCAGTCCAATTTGGTCTCATTTTACAGACATATACAGTATTGTACTAAATAGAAGCTTTAAGGAGATTAGGGCACAGTTGTGCAGGATGTTACACAGCAGCTGTATTTACAGTGAAAGGGCCACAATATATGGTTAGACACAAGTAAGCTTTAGCTACTCTCATACAATTTTAAAAGGATGCACCTCTACAAACCAAAATAGTTGGCTTCCCTAAAGATTCAGCATTTTTTAATTAGATCTTTTATTAGAGACCATCTCCCAGTGAAAATACTCTAGAACTTCACACCGAAGTACCAATTTAACTGACCTGTTACAAGGACAGACACAGAGCCCACAACATTTGTTGAGCTCCGTCAGTGTCTTCTCAGCTTCTCTCATATCCTTATTTATCTGGTCCATGCCTTCTTCTATGCGATTTAGTTGTTCTAGATGAGAAACAAGCAACGTGAATAAACACAGACTGGGGGAACGTGGGGGTGAGATACTAACATTTCTTTCAAGCAGGAACTTACAAATTTTAGTTCTATCTTTACGTCAAGACTAATGCTTTTTTTTTCTTTCCCACCTCCTGGGATTTTTTTTTTTTTTTTACTTTTAAGAAAGATATCTAGCAATAAGTTTTGTTTGCTATATTAAAAACATTTTCCCTATCCTTGGAGCAGCGCTTCTGCTGCTGCTTTTAGAATAAAGGCAGTTACATTAATGCTATGGTGGAAAGGAACAGCTTCTGCAGCAGAGGCTGTATTGTGCTGTAACTAAAATGGTCTCTCAACTACCTCTTTTAAATATGTACCAACACGTGGGAATAACCAAACTGCAAATCTCATTTTCACATCAGTAGTATTTATTAAAGTCTTTAGTTTCAACAGCTCTTGAATGATAATCCTTTTTCTTACAGTCACAAAACTGATTTTAGTGTTAGAGAGGAAGAACAAAGAGCTTACCTCCCTGTTCATCCAGCATGGTGATAGTTTTGATGCCAACATCCTGGGACTGCAGAAAGAAATTTATTTGCAGATATAAAAGCAGATTTCAATACAGCAGTGCAAAACCAGAAGGTCTCTATAATAAATCTGATAAGCCAACCAAGTTAATAATAAAATGCAAACCACAACAGTGTAGAGGAATAGTTCAATAATACAATGTTACCTATATAAACACAAAAGAGATATACAAGGGTGTAAATCCTCATACATAGGATGTATAAGGGTGTTAAGAACCTCATCATGCTTAACTACCTTTAAAATGAAAACTGATGAACAGATGGTAAAAAGGTGTCTGTAGACCTACTTTTTTATAGAACCAAAAGCAGCCCTACCCTCTACTACCCCACCCAACTGAGCCCTACCCTCCTCAAAGCAAGACCTTTCCACATTGTTGACAGGCAAATCAAACTAAAAGACAAGCAGAAAATGTTATGAGAAGCAATTGAGGCAGCAGCCAAAACCATAACTGACCATCACAGAAGACTTTTTATAACTCATCTGTAGCATTTGGAGATTAGGACATTTTGCTTAAGATGAAAACAGGTAAAAAGGATATTGATCCTTCTGTGATCTGACCTGACATAATATAAAAACATTAGGTTTAAGTTTTTAGCAACACTTATACTGAATTAAAGCAGCAGCTTCTAATAATGAAGGGTGCCTCTCAGAGTTTGAGAAAGACAGAAAAGCAATTAGGATCACTGTGATAGTTAACATGCTGCTTCTCACACTTACATTAATAAATCCTCAGGGAATTCAAAAGCTTTTCCTTACCTCAATGGCCAAGCCAAGAATCCTCCTTGTGCTTTCCAAAGACTAGAAAGAGAATTTTTAAGTAATGAGTGCATTAACAGTATATACAAGTGTCTGAAATTCTTCTTCACCAGTTCATTGCAGTAAGGCAACTAGCATACAAAGGTTCATCAGCCTGTCTGTATGTAATATAGACCCTGGGGACCTTATTAATGTTTATAACTACATAAGGGCAGGTGTCAAGAGGATGGGGCCAGACTTTAATAGCCGGACCAGTTATCCTCAGGGTATTCAGCCCCCTGAGTTGGAAGACAGTAATGGAGAACAGAATAAACCCCCCATAATTCAGGAGGAAGCTGTTTATGACCTGCTATACCACCTGAACACTCACAAGTCTATGGGGCCAGGCAGGATCCATCCAAGAGTACTGAGGGAGCTGGTGGAAGAACTTGCCAAGCCACTCTCCATCATTTATCAACAGTCCTGGCTAACAAGGGAGGTCCCAGAAGACTGGAGGCTTGCCAGTGTGATGCCCACCTACAAGAAGTGCCAGAAGGAGGGTCCTGGGAACTACAGACCTGTCAGCCTGACCTCAGTACCAGGGAAGATCGTGGAACAGTTAAACTTGAGTGCGCTCACGCAGCATATGCAGAACAACCAGGGAATCAGGCCCAGCTGGCATAGCATGGGTTCATGAAAGGCAGGTCCTGCTTGACCAACCTGATCTCCTTCTATGATCAGGTGACCTGCGTAGTGGATGAGGATAAGGCTGTGGATGTTGTCTACCTGGTCTTTAGCAAGGCCTTTGGCACTGTCTCCCACAGCATTCTCCTAGAGAAGCTGGCGGCTCGAGGCTTAGACAGGTACACTCTTCACTGGGTAAAAAAGTGGCTGCATGGCTGAGCCCAGAAAGTTGTGGTGAATGGAGCTAAAGCCACTTGATGGCCAGTCACAAGTGGTGTTCCTCAGGGCT